ACCCTCCCTGCCCAGTCAGTCCTTATCGCGCAGGTGCAACATTGCATGTATGCCCGACATCGCTGACTGTGTTCTTCCCTGCCCAGTTACTCCTTAAGGCAGTGGCCCCAACTTTTTTTGTGCCACGGCCTGGTACCGGCATCACAAAATGATCCGCGGCCCGGTACCGGCATCAGCACTTTCTCGTCAAAACAAGATGGTGGCGCCCAGCAAACCGGCGGCCTGGTAGAAAATGATCCACGGACCGGTACCGGTCTGGGGCCCGGTGGTTGGGGACCCCTGCCTTAAGGTATTTCTTTTTTCCCCCTCCCAACTGCTCCTATTATCAGCTGTGCCGGGATCCCCCTTCGCTGTCTTACTGCTTTGCCCAGGAGGCTTCCCTGAGGCCCAGGAAGGCAAAAAATAAAAGGAAAACCCCTCCGCTCAGGAAAACCCCTCCGCCCCATTCCATTTTTTTGTCTTCCTGGGCCCCAGGGAAACCTTCTGGGAGCAAAAATGGTCCCCCCCAGGAGGCTCCCCTGAGGCCCAGGAGGCCTCAAAATGGAGCGCAGGAAGTTGGTGCATGCCCCCCCATGCTCAGTTTTTTGCCTTCCTGGGCCCCAGGGAAGCCTTCTGGGAGCAAGAACACCCCCCAGGAGGCTTCCCTGAGGCCCAGAAGGCCCAAAAAATGGGGTGGGAGGAGGGGGATGCTGCAAAAAACCATGCCCACCCAGTCACATGGCCACGCCCACCTAGCCACGCCCACAGAACTGGTTGTTACAAAATTTAAATCCCACTCCTGAGTTAGTTTTATTAAAAAATAATTCCTGTGTACCAAGTTAGACAAATCTCTGTTGGTTGGGCCACATTAACTTTATGCCACATAAGGTTAAGTTACAATGCTAAAATAATTCTGTGTGCATTATACAAAACAGATTTCCTCCAGCAAAAAGGCTATAAGTCTCTGCACAGATTTAATACACCAAAAAAAAGGCAAAATTCCAAACCTTTTTTGGCTCAGATAATATTCTGGCCCATTATGACGATCTATGTCATTCACTGAAGAAATTTCTTACTGTCAAACTTCCGATAAGAAACCGCCAACAAGTTGGAGTTAGCTGGTTTGATTCTGGCTGCTTGCACAGTAGAAAATATTTGAGAGGTGCAATGCGTAGGGTTCAGCGATGTCCCACCTCAAAAAACTATAGCAACATGTTGAAAATTAGGCGTGATTTTAAGAAATTGATAGCGTCAAAGAAGGCTTCCTTTAGAACTAAATTATGGTCGGACTTGGAAATTTGGGCAAAAGGGTCAAATTCAGCTTTCTTTTGGAATGCTGTCTCAGGTATATTGAAGGAATGTAAATTCTATTTTGATATCCCCATTCCTGCTTCAACCTGGGAGAATTTTTATATTTTATTAATCCCAATCAGGATTCTATTCATACCCAAAGCAATGATTTATTAACTTTAGAAAATCTCCCTATCTGGCCCCGTTTCTGTTTCAGAAATTAAATCCATTATTCGATCATTAAAAGCTAATAAGGCACCTGGTGAAGATTTTTTGCCCCCAGAATTATTTAAGACTTATATGGACTGGTGGGCGCCTTTGTTAGCAGGGCTATTTACCGGTACCTTTATAAACAATACTGGCCGCATACCTGTGGGTTGGGAAGTGGCCATTATTGTTCCCTTACATAAAAAAGGAGACAGAGGCAATCCAAATAATTACAGACCAATAAGCCTAATTGGAATTGTTGCTAAAATGTATGCAAAGCATTTGTTGAGCAAAATTGAAATCGTGGTTATGGAGAATAATCTTTTGGCGGAGGAACAAGCAGGCTTTAGACCAGAGCGATCCACCATAGATAATTGTTTCACATTATATCATTTGGTAACCAGGTATTGAAAAATGGGTAAGAAATTATTCACTGCATTTATTGATCTAAGTGCGGCTTTTGATTCGTTAAACAGAAATATCTTGTAGAGGAAACTGGCGGACCTGAACATGGAGCCCAGACTCCTTTTTCTGGTTAGGGCCCTTTACTCAAACACCCATGTGAAAATCCGTACTGGCGTAAATGGAGCCCTGTCTAAGAGCATACCTACCAATATTGGCGTAAGACAGGGCTGCATTTTAGCCCCAATGCTTTTCAATCTCTATGTCAGGATTCCTGCATGCAGTAGATTTGCATATGCCAAAGATTCTTGATAAATTTATTAATACCCTTTTATATGCCGATGACATGGTATTAATGGCTCATTCACAAATAAGCCTGAGGAGACTGTTGCATAAGCTGAATACCTATTGTACTTTGAATTTCTTAAATATTAATAAAACCAAATCCAAAGTGTTGGTTTTCAGCACAAAAAGTAGGAAATATAATTGGCAGATTAATGGGGAGTCAATCGAACAAGTAAATTCTTACACCTACATAGGAGTGGTCTTTATTAATACAGGATCTTGGTTTAATCACTTTAAAAGTAGTGCATTAAGAGCTGAGATAAGCACCAAAAGATTATATAAATTATTTAACCATAATTATCCAGGCACTTTGACCCCTATGTTGAAAGTATTTAGGGCAAAAATAGTTCCAATGCTGACATATGGTACAGAACTGTGGGGTTTAAATAAAGCCTCCCCGCTTGAACAAACACAGGCCTGCTTTTTAAGACACTTATTGGGGACTGATAAGAACACTTCTGCTTCAGCAGTCAGAGCGGAATTGGGTATCCACTCCTTACATAGCCACTTAATAATTAAAACATTTACATACTGGCGAAAGATACAATCAATGGATTCGAATAGACTTCCCAAACTATGCCTAACTGAACAGTTAAATAAGTTCCAATTTAACTCCTCGGCCAGTCAACTCCAGAGAGCCGTCTTAAGACATGTGGTTTTCTACCCAATATTTCTTGATAAGGGTTTCCCAGGCAAAGGAAATTTTTAAACAGAGAGTCTTGGATATTAGTGCCCAGACTGACATGGAATTATAAGCAAAAAACAGATCTATAAGATGGTTGGCTAAGAATAAAAACATCTTCCAACCTGAAAAATAGCTTTCAATGGGTATGCCACAATTACAGAGAAGAGCCTATACCAGAGCCAGATTTGAGTTAATGGATTCCATGTCCAGACGTGGGCGCTTCCACCATGTACCATATCACGAGAGAACCTGCTTATGTGATTCATCTGCCACTGAAGATATTTCCCACATCTTGTTCAACTGCCAAATATATACCCCCACACATCATCCGTAGGACTGCTAAGTTTATAATCAAGGCAGCGGTCCTAAGAACCCAATATATGGAACAAATTGGTGTATCCAGCAAGGGTGATCTATTATCCGATTTTTGACTCCCTGGTTTTCCACATATGTTTTTATTACTGTATTTTTATATATATAACTTATCTGTATTTTGTCTTGTTATATATTTATGTTACGTTACTGATAAGATCTTATGACTATTCAATAAACCTCTTACCTTATCTTATCTTACCTTACCAAACCTTTTTCAGAAATCCAATCAAATTACTGATGTCATTTTACACTCATGTCATTATATATACCATGTTTCTCATATAATAAGGCCGGGTCTTTTTTTTTTTTTTGAGCCCCCCAAAAATGGCTAGGTTGTCTTTTCGGGGGTGACTTAATTCCCCCCCTTGCATCTTCAGGCGGGTGGGTGGCGACGGCTTGGATGTTGACCTCGGCGTTGGTGGGGCACTTCGTATCGGGGTCAACGCAGGCAGCACCATATCCGGGTGTGCAACAAGAATACTTCCTAATGGCAAGCTCCCCCACCATTCCCCCCATTTCGCATGTTTTAATATAGGCCTTAATTTGGGGGGGAGGGGCTTAATTTCATTTCATGCCTATAAATCATGCTGGGACTTCCTATTGGGGGAGGCCATATTGTTGGAGAAACGGTATATATATATATAAGGCCCAATATATATATATATAAGTTTTCTTAAGACGAACACAATACGGAAGCCTGATGATGGCAGATGAGATTCTGCCGAAACGTTGCTACAACTTTAAAAGCACAACTATAATGACGTGGGAAAATACCCGAACAAAGCTGAATACCATATGTATGTATGTATGTATGTATGTATGTATGTATGTATGTATGTATATGAATAGTTCTCAGATTATATCTCTGCTGGGAAGGGGAACATAATCTAAGAATTGCCTGTCCCAAATAGTCTCTTTTGAGAAAATATGCACAGGATTGCTTTCTAATATACCAAGTAACCTAGTGGGGTAACAGTTATAAAATAAAAACTTTTGTGACTTTTAAAAGTAATTAAAAGAAAGCCCATATTTTTCAGTTCCAGACTCCTGCTTTTTCCTATAAAAACAGGATAGTTTCAACATTTCTTGAACCACTACATTTTTATACAATAGAGGCAGCTGCCAGAAGTTATGGTCATATTTTATATTTCAGAAGCGTTTGACAGCATTCTTTCTCTAGAATAGGAACATAAAGTATAGGTAAAGCTTCAAGGAATTATTCATTAACTCTGAAAATCCATTATCCATTTGCCTTCTGGTTCCTTCCCCTTTTTTCCCTTAGATTATCCCCCTTTTTTTTTTTTTTTGCATTTGCAGAGAAACTTTTGCTAGAGGGAAAAAAAAGTTTTGCTTGAACCAGATGTTTCAGTTTGTAAAGAAACATTTTGATGACAGCCAGATGTCTACTTATCTCTTGGTTTATGTGTCTGCATAATCACAATAGGTTCTATAAATCAGTCTTCAAGAAACTGCACTTTTGTCTCTGGAACTATTTTTGTGAAGTGCTTCTCATGGTTGGGCAAGAAATAATCCTTAGTTCTACATGAGTCATGTGAATGAGTCAAACCCTATACCATAAAATAGAGCAGGCTCTCCACCGTATCTGCCTTTCTCTGTTGCAGCTTGAAGATTAAAGTGTTAGGCAGAACTCTGGGTCGCATGGCTCCTGTGACTTTATCCTAAATATGGATTTAATGTCTTTTATTCTCTTTTGCAGCTACTGTGACTGGTTCTAAAGATCCCAATTCTGGAGAGAAAGCCCTAACCATGACACCTGGCAAAGAAAGGGAAGCACTCTGTGGTAAATTGGTCATTTAATCTGCATATCTTTTAAGCAACTTGGTTGCTCGCATATTTCTCTTTTATAGTTGAATGTCTATTGTTCTTTCCAGCATTTCTAGAATGGCATGTTATCCTTGGTTTAAGGAGGTCACATATAGCCCTGTTTATGTGACTTCCAGAGCCTCATCTGATCATTACTGCTAAAAATTGTGGCATGATTTCTTACCATTTTGAGGCACAGGAAAAGGACTACTGCAAGTACAGTGATAGTCTTCACATTATTTGAAAAATAAGACTTATCTCTACAACCTCCACCAGAATCTTTTCCAAAACAAAAATTCTCAGTCAGTTTGCGTCATTGTGCCATCTGTTGTGGCTCTTGGATTTAGACAAATGTTAAGTGCGGCACTATATAAAACTCCCTTCATTTTCTTTCTACCCATTCTCTATTGCTTTCTGGCACGTGAGATTTCCCAAAGTAATTTATTTACATTATAATAAAAACAAGCCAAGGACAGCTGAATTTACCATGCCTTTATTTATGTCCATGATGAAACATGAATGTTTGGCTACAGTTACAACATTTATGAAAGATACTTACTTTTCTGATTTATCATTGGGTAAAAGAATTTGGAAATAATCTTCCTCCAATATATTCCTTAGCTGTGAGCTCTTTGAAAGAGAGCCCTATAGATTTATGTGTGCAAAGTATGAATAGTATAATAGCAATAACACTTAGATGTATATACCGCTTCACAGTGCTTTACAGCCTTCTCTAAGTGGTTTACAGAGTCAGCCTATTTCCTCCAACAATCTCATTTTACCCTCCTCGGAAAGATGGAAGGCTGAGTGAACTTTGAGCCTGGTGGGATTTGAAATCCCAAATTGCAGTCAGCTAGCAGTCAGCAGAAGTAGTCTGCACTACTACATTCTAACCACATGTAAGTCCTATATGTCTTCATAAATGGATATTCCATTGAGTTAAGGGGACTTGCTTCCAGAAAAGTGGGTGTAGATTTCTGTTTTAGGTTTGCACTAACATCCTTTTGGAATATGAAAATAAGAAAAATTGTTGGAAAGCTCTCCAACTCCAACAACAGAATATTTAAGACAAAATAGAGACATTCTGGTTTCACCTCACAATCAGCCTGTGAGTTTGATCCTAGGTAGAATATCTGCTGCAAACTCCACGTAGGTGTCAGGAAGGGCACCCGGCCAGTAAATGCTCAACTCCATTCAGTCATCCTGACTCTACCCTGATACAAGGGATTACTGGATCATTAAAAGAAAAAGAAAAAAGAGAGATTCTGCTGATCATTCTATTTCTTCCAACATAACTGATTCTCATTAACTCGGGTTTCTCATAAGTGAACTATCTGGAACTGGGAGAGAAGTTCGTTATCTGCCAAGTTGTTAAACCACCCAGCAATATTCAGTGAGATAATTGTTATGGCTCTGCAATCAGGCTATCAACATGGTAGTGAATTTTTTTTAAACTTTATCTTGAAGTAACATTATGGCCAGGAATACAGCCATTCAGACTATAAACTCCTCTACATACTTGAGGCTGAGACTGGTTTTGTCTGTGGTATTCAGATGTGTCAGAGAAAGTTAAATAAGGTCCAAATGGTAATACTTAAACCACTTTGTAGGTCTCTTGTCCCAATTTACTAAAAAAATAAAATATTGTGAAAAGTAACATTTTATTGAACGACTTTTAGAAGTTGAATACGGTTATTGGTAGTTTTGGTTTATTACCTTTCAATCAGAGGCACTGAGGGCAAATCTAAACAGACCATATTCATAGTAGCATGGGAAATTACCCAGAGTCACTTTGGATGATGAGATGGGTGGCATATAAGTTTAATAAATAATAACTTTTGTAAAATAATACTATTTCCAATGACAAATCCAAATACAGTGAAGTAAAAAAGCTATTTCAACGGAATACAGTATCACTATTGGTTCTCTACATTCAAGTAATTAGGGAGACATTTTTATAAAATTCCAATTAAGAAATATCTGTACACTTTGGATTGTTGAAATATATTTGCCATTTTGAATCTGTTTATTATTTCCACTATACATGATGCATGTACAGTACAGCATTAGTCAGCTTTGCAAGCAAAATATAATGCTGTTTTGCCAGACAGATGGCTAATGTAGTAAATTTTAAAGTTTTACTCTTTCTGTACAAGGTGACCCAATTATAAAACTGGGACGGCACAGTTGACATTAAATTTGTTGAAATGGATTTTAAATAGGCGTTTTGGATTTTGACATGAAGATAATTTCTAAATAGTTTTGTATGTGCATGTGTGATCAGCATATATTTGATTAAATACTTTTGGAGATTATCATAAAGCCATTAGCTATAGATGCACAATACACACACATGTATACACACATGTACACACACACACACACACACAGACAGACAGAGACACACACTCATAATTATCTCTGTGTGTGTGTGTTTGTAATTCTAGTCTTGCCTATTGCATTAACTTGGCCATAACATTCTTTCAATCACCATTTTGTCTTTTGTTATTTAAAACATTTTACAGCCTAAACTCATTCATGTGTACTCACAGGCACTAAGTCTTTTTGTGACATAAACATAAGATGTTTGGATGAGTGGCCATCTTGTCTGTCAGAGCTTTAGTTATTTTACCTTTTATTTATTGCGAGAAGTTTGTGAATTATGAAATTATAATAGAACATATATTTACCTGAATCTTAAAATATTTTAAATAGATCTCCTCTTACCTATCAGATTTTCAAGTTTCTAATTGCAGATAAAATATAGGTATTTTAAAGTCTTAGCAGATTTAGTTGTAACTTCAGATAGCCAAAACAGAGATATTTCCTTGCTTTTAATTCCCTTTTTAGTTCCTCTCTTTCCCCTCTAAGCTTTTGGAATTCAAATTCTGAGAAAATTTGATTGTGCTGTTGTAATTTTCTGGAAGAGGGTATAATGCAAAGTGGGAAAATGTGATCAGACAATAAATTAGTGTATTGAGAGAATGTATACAAAGAGTAAACTTGAGACTTCCTTGTAAGGAAATTGAGGCACAAAATTAGCAAGGAAGAGAAATATATGAGGAAAGAGGCAGCTGATACTTAGTCATAGAAGCAAAGGAATTAAGCAGAAATGGAGGCAATCACTGCACATGAAAAGAAAAAAAATCATGTAAATTAGCATCGAGTTTTATTGATAGTGGTCTAAATAGAAGCAACTATATTATTTGTTCACACAAAATTATTAGCGGACTGGAGACTAAAACATATGAAGAACTGTTACAGGAACAGGGCATGGCTAGTCCAGTGAAGAGAAGGACCAGAGGAGACATGATAGCAGTCTTCCAGTATTTGAGGGGCTGCCACAGAGAGGAAGGGGTCAAGCTATTTTCCAAAGCACCCAAAGGCCAGACAAAGGATAATGGATGGAAACTGATCAAGGAGAGATTCAACCTACAAATAAGGAGAAATTTTCTGACAGTGAAAACAATCAACCAATGGAACAGCTTTCCTTCGGAAGTTGTGGGAGCGCCATCACTGGAGGCTTTTAAGAAGAGTTTGGACTGCCACTTGTCAGAAATGGTGTAGGGTCTCCTGCTTGAGCGGGAGGGCTGGACTAGATGACCTACAGTATAAGGTCCCTTCCAACTGTGTTAATCTGAATCTGAAGAATTTATAATCAGCAGAATACACAAAATATCCCCAATATGGCTAAGATAGTAAATTGACTTAATTGATTAGGGAATTTAGAGATTCTAAAATAAATCTATTTCTCATCAAAATAAAGTTAGAAGAAATTGTAGGTTTCCAGTGAGGATTTATGATGAATTAGACGTCCCTGAAGGAGCAGGGATGACATGGTGGCAGAGATCAGTGGCCAAACAGTGAATTCAGTTCAACGAAATCTTTCTGGAAAAAGGAGAGATTGTGAAATCGCCAACTTGCACTCTGAACAGCTGTTCTACACAGCAGTCTAGAGTAGGCTACAGGAACTGAGCTTTTTGTGGTCAGATTGTATTATACCTCAAGAAAACCAGACCGGAAATAGGACTAGATGAACTAAACCTATTGTACTGTCAGGCAACATTGAAAGAATCATTCTGCAGGTGAAACTTCCCATCGCCGCTTTTAAGTCTCTCGTCAATTAAGGCAGATCCTTCCCAATTTTCTTTTCTTGGTGGTTAAGGCCTTCGGGGTTCTGCTTCTCTTGCCGGATTGTTTTCTAGGCAGCATCTCTTCTCCTCTTTCCTCAAGATCATCCAGGCATTTCATTACAGTTTGTGAATCGAGCAGCAGGGAGTTGTGGGGTTTCAATCAAGCTCACGGATGGACAGGTAGTCCTTGCCTTACAACCATTTGTTTCAAACAACCGTTTGAAGTTACAAAGGCATTGAAAAAAGCAACTCGTGACCGTTTTTCACACTTATGACTGTTGCAGCACCCCTAGGATCACGTGATCGAAATTCAGACACTTGGCAAGTCACTCATTTGACAGTTGCCGTGTCCTGAGGTCGTGTGTTCACCTTTTGCAACCTTCTAACAAGCAAATGGGAGGAATCCAGATTTCACTTAGCAACCATGTTACTAACTTAACAACTACAGTGATTCACTTAGCAACTGTGGCAAAAAAGTTGTAAAATGAAGCAAAGCTCACTTTTACACCTGTGTCTCGCTTAGCAACAGAAATTTTAGGCTCGGCTGTGGTCATAAGTCAAGGACCGCCTGTAATGTAGCCTTATTGGTACATTGAGCCTCATTTTTAATCACTTTCAGAAATTGCTTCTTAACTGCTTGTAAATTATTAGGAACCTTTGGATCTACAAGTTTTATCACACCAGGTGAAGTTGCCTTCAAGCCTTAGCGAAAGAGGTTTTAAGTTTAAGGACTTAAAAAATTTTATATTGGGGAGAGATGAATAAACAGCAAAATGGTGATTAGAACATTGAACTTGGAAATTACAAAAGGATTAGGATCCAGATGAATTTTAAATAAGTGTTTTAAATTAATTATAAGAATCCTTCCTATTGGAAAATGCGGCTGTTTTGAGTTCTTTTAAAAAAAAACTAATAGGATGCGACTTTAAAGGTTGGGCACTAGAGGGAATCGGAAAGAGCTAAAGATTACAAAAGACAAGAACACTTAAATTTGACTCACTAATACAGAATGGAGCAAAATCCTTTAACATGGACATATTGAAAAATATTTGTGAACAGTGGACCCAGAAGTTAACTTTGAGAATGTCTGCTCTTATGGATAGACTGAAAGTTGTTATGGAAAAGATTTTTTTTTTAACCTGACAAGACCAAGATTGTTTAAAGTGGATTTAAAAACAACAGGACTATAAGAATGATATGGAAAAGAAGCTACACTGGATACACACATGAAACCAGCTAATGTCTTAATAATTAAAAGATATACAAATAACAAATCAAAAGAGTGACCCAAATAACTTTCTCATACTAAGTTTGCAAAAGAAATTTGCTAAAGTTTTGAATGATTTTTTGGGGGGGAAGGGACAAAGGGGAAAAAAAGAAATCAAATATTATTTGAAGGGATTAAAGATCGAGTCTGTTAAAAGCACAGCTAGACCTTTACTTGAGATTAAATGTCAAAGGAACCAAAATTATAGTTTGCATACTTTTTCACTGATAGTATCCCTGGCTTTATTTTTTTCCTGATGCAAAGTGATTCACACAGTGGCATAGTTAAAGTAGAGATTGTGCTTCCGTGACCTGTAATGCTGTTCTCCGTTTGGATGGCTTTAAAAAGTATTTTGACTCACGGGTAATAATGCTGACAGTGACTACTAGTCAGGATGGCTTTATCTTAATTCTGACAAGCCCCTGTGCCTCGTGTAAGGAAGATGAGTGTGATTGAACAATTGCAGTCTTACCTGTCTGTGGGCTTCCCAAAGGGACAGCAGGAAGGGAGAGTAGAGTGGGGGAAACGACCAGGGGATTAGACTGAAAGAAGCCAGTGTTGCATTGCAACCCCAGACCTGCCCCTGTTCGATATACACTGCAACATTTCAAGGCCAGAAAGGTCAGAGCTTGCAACAGGATACCGCAATGCTGCTTCCATCATTCTGGTTGTCAGTACAGTTAGTCCTCAAGTTACGACCAGAGTTGAGCAATGATTTCCGTTGCTAAGCAAGACAGGTGAGGGGTTTTTTTTTACCTCCATTTTACGACCTTTCTTCCCTATTGACTTTGCTGGTCGCAAGGTTGCAAAAGAGGATCGCATGCCCCCAGGACGCTGCAGCTGTCATAAACACGAGCCAGTGGCCAAGCACCCGAATTGTGACCGCAGGAATGTTACAGCAGTCGTAAGTGTGAAAAACGGTCATTGGACACTTTTTTTTCCAGTGCTGCTGTAACTTTAAACGGTCTGGTTGTGAATTGAGGACTGCCTGTAGCAAAAGCATCTGATTTGGGCTACTGTGGGGTCAGAATGGTAGAGCCTTAGACATGATCCTGTGGGACTCTTCTTTGCCCCTTTCTCTGATACAAACAAGAGTTTGGCGGAATTTCAAGTCATCCCACAGTGTTTTTGCGAAGGAAATGTAAGGGTACAAAAAGTGGCTTGTTGTTTAAAAGGGAGGTCCTGACAGACTTCCCAAAGTCAAGCTAGGGTTGTTTAGAGGTCATTGGTTTGGCCTCAGTTTTTTTTAAAAATAGAATCATATACAGAAAGGCCTCGACTTCGGACCACAATTGAGCCTGGCATTTCTGCTACTAGGTGAGAGAGTTGTTAAGTGAATTTTGCCCCATTTTTACGGCCTTTTTTTGCCACAGTGGTTAAGTGAATGACTTCAGTTCTTAAGTTAATAAGACAGTTGATAACTTAATCTTGACTTTGCTTGTCAGAAGGGGGGGGGAGGGGTCACATGACCCCCGCAACTGTCATAAATACGAACCTGTTGTCAAGCCTCCGAATTTTGATCCTGTGACCATGAGGATGTTGCAATGGTTGTAAGTGTGAACAATGGTCACAAGTCCCTTTTTTTCAGTGATGTTGTAACTTAGAACGGTCACTAATTGTTGTAAGTTGAGGGCTACCTGTGCAGTTCCCTGAGCTTTTGGGAATGCTACCTACTACAGTACAGCACCACTTGGGGCTAAATCCTTTTGAATCTGATTTAACATTCACCCAGCGCAGAATAAAGCCTGATAAATCTGGGAAATTCCCAACTTAAATCCCCCAGCTGAAATGTCCTTCTCTCTCATTGTAGTCCTGCATAAGATGGCTAATCGTCTTCCTCCCAGATAACCTGCCCTGCCAGTAGGTTATGAATAGAAACCATTCTATTATTTCCTGGTAGAACAGACTATTTTCCTTGCTTGCCTGCAATTAAAGTCCCGACCTAAGAGAGGACATTCCATTCCATTGCTGTCTGCCAAAAGTCTTGCTGGAGCTTACCTCTTCGGTCAAGTTGCTTATTATTTCCTGTGCAACTTCAAGAGAGTTGTTTAGCAACAGGTTCGAGTTGTATGCTACCTACTTTTCCTTAGACTTTTCCCCAGCATTGGTTAACTCGCTGAGCAAGGGGAGCTTAGCTTTTTTGGGGGTGTGGTTTTTGTGACACAGGGTGGATGTTGCATTAAAGCTCTCGTGTAAAAAACCTGAGCGGCATCTTCTGTTCCTTGAAAGGCGGAGAGAATGGAGATGTAGGAGGAGAAACCAAGTTCATCGTCCCAATCAACAGAACCGCCCACAGTCCCCCTGTATCTCTCTCTCTCTCTTTCCTGCTCCGTTTTCTAGCTATAAATTGGTCACTTCCTTACATCTCGAGGAGGCAGGTGTCAGTCTCTCTTTTTTTTTTTATCTGTGGAAGCAGAGCTGAGTTATAATGCCCCGTGGAGAATACAAGCTTGAATACAAGAGTGAGTACAATTGGAGCATTGCAGGGGGAAAGGTGGTACTTATAAAATCGTTGTCTGCAGATTTAACTTCTTCCTTGTGGGTGAGTTGTTTTGCTATTTTGAGAAGTGCAGTATTGTGAACGCCTTCTGTGGAACGTGGTGTCCCTATAACCCTTTGATCTATTTCTTGCTAGGGTGGTGGAAGAGGTTTAGTTTATTATTCCCAATGCTTTTCCAGAACAAAATCAAGATGTGGTTTTGATAAAATGTCCAGATTTACCTGTTGACCTAAGTTTAGGGGAAAATATAGCTACAGAGCCCATTAACAAGGTAAAATGTTTGCATTTCAAAGCAGCCCTGAGGAATAGATCTGAAGATCAGCCCAATCCGGCATCTGGGTTCCAGTAGTGAGTAGCCACTCAGTTTTAGGTAGGGAAATAAGAAGGTCAGAATTTCTTTCATGAATGAGTAAAATATGCAATAACTTCAAATGAAAAAAAAAAGGTAGGCTTGGGAGAAAACAATGAGTTGGCAACTATAGGGTTACAATTAAGCATATCAAAATAAATTCTTTTAAGTAGACATAAACAGAGTACGGTAGATAAAACTTTAACAATATTTGATTGCATGTCTGCACGGTGAGAATCTTAACCGTGCCCAGATCCCTACCCTGTAGATGTTCAAACTTATAATTTCTCAAACAAACGGATAAGGAAAAGGAGGCAATGGCTTCGGTTTTGTGATAGTTAAGAAGGGAGGAGAGCAAATTATTCCCCGTGCTACACAGATTGGGGGAGGGAGAGAAAGAAACATTCTTACCCCAGAATGCTACAGCTTGCAAGGGGAGAGCCAGAAGCAGTCAAACTATAATTGTAATCAAATGAACATTCAAAAAGCAGGCTTTAAACATTAGCCTTGGCAGACATGCAACTGGGATTATAGGAAATGCCCCAAAGCATGATCGGTGTCTTCATCCAAAGACAACTCTATAGCTACAGCAGAAGATCATCCATATAAATTTATAGAACTCCTTTTTTTGTCGAAGCTAGAGGCTCTTTGTCAGTCCTAACACTTCCATCAGTCTGGACTGTCACTGTCCTCAGCCATTCAGCCATGTCCGACCCTTGGCCACTGTATGGATCAGCACTCTCCATGCCCCCTCTGCCTCGCACTGCCTCCTTCAGACCCACCATGGTCATCATGGTGTCATGCTTTATAGTGTCCAGGCAGCGGGCCCAAAGGCGTGGTGTCCCCTTCTCCTTTTTCTTCCACTCCTGCAGGGTCTTAGATAATGAATGTGTGTCTTCTGGGGATTGGAAGTTCTGTCAAATTGTGTTTAGTTGTAGTTCTGGGAAGAGCATAAATGCTGTATAGCAGGCATTCCCATCTAACATGATTTAAGTCTGTATGTGTGTCTTCGGATCCAATTTCAGTGTTCTGTTTGCTTTACCAAACAAATATGTAGTTGAGGAGTAAATACCTAGTTTGCATAATTGTGCATAATACAACCGTGACCTGGATTGCTGAGAATCTCCATATACCTTTGCATAAACGATAACAACTTGGTGTGTGTGTGTGTGTGTATTCAGTTACTGTATGCAAGGAATGGCTAGTTCTGCCGTTGTTAATGTAAGTTCATTGTTGAGATACAGAGCACATCATTTTACCCCTGCCTGGCTCCCTGCAAATGCATTGATTCCATAATATAATGGGTAACGTTTTCAAATGGCATGAGATCTTTTCCCCCAGTGGACGAAGCATAGCATGATACACTTACATTACAGCTGCCTTGCTACTCTTCCGCTCTTCCCGCTTCTCCACTTCCCTTATCACATCATTCTGCTCTTGCTTTGCAGAAGACACCTCTGGGGATGGTGTTACTTCCATTTACAGCAACCCAGTATCGCCACAGAGTTCAGATTCTACAGATGAATTTACCACCTACTTTGATCAGAAAATACCTATACCACAAGATGAAAAGGTTAGTGTGGGTAATAAGAGTGATGGCGGGGTCAGCATTGGTGATAATTTCCCTGGCATTTTATTGAAGAGCACCATTGTGTCAAAGAGGGGGTGGCAGTGTGAAGAATTACTGGTCACAGTAACATTTGCCCAAGATACGTTCAGTTTATGCTGAGGTTCAATCTAAGTCATCAAAATATATTAGTGGAACATTTTGGTGTTTCTGAAGGTTCGAGAGAATTAAACTTGGTCTCTTGAGTGCCTGTTGTGTGTCTGGATGAGTCACTTTTCTGGAGTTGCTTTCTTCTTATTTTAAATCAGTAATTGATGCAGGAACTTGGGGATTGGCGGAGACTGAGCCTTCTTTAAGTATTGTGCTCCGTCAATCTCCCCCTAAGTGCTTTTAACTGTAATTTTCATCAGCCCTACCCTCTGGCTACATCATTTGGAGTGAATGAAAGTTATATTCTAAAACTGGTGGAAGTATCCAGAGAGGAGAAAGCTGCTCTAAGCAATAAATTGCTTCAGTTAAAGACCAAAAAATGCCTTTAGTATTTAAAAATCTGTGCTCCTCTTTCCTGTGCTCTTCCTGGCACGGAATACATTTGATCTCAAATACAATTTGAAAGTTGTTCCAGTGCTTCTTTGCTACTGTTTCCTGATGCTTCTCAAGGATGGGAGATGATGGAATGAGAATGATATTTTAGTAGCCAGTATAATTATTGAATGAGTACACGGAGGAGACAGTAATCCTCTGTGAAGATAACAGCTACTGTCTTCAGTTTTTTGAAATGAATAGTTGCACCCATATTCATTTTCGTTCATTTTGTTTGTTGAAAAGATTCCATCATCTGTGGATTGCCGTGACTTTAAGGACCTTCTGTTATTAAAGGCTTAAACTTTGGAATGCTAAATAAGAATTATATTAAAGGAATATGCAAGCTAAGGTTGAAGTTTTTTTAAAAACTCTCTAGCTATTCTGAGTATTGAGTAGGGCTCCTAATTTATGCAAGCGCAGATTCTTTTTTATTATTATCTCAGAATTTTTTTTAAAATTTGAGCAGTATAATTTAGAATGGAGATGAGGAAATACCGTATATACTCGAGTATAAGTCGACCCGAATATAAGCCGAGGCACCTAATTTTACACAAAAAAACTAGGAAAACTTATTGACTCGAGTATAAGCCGAGGGTGGGAAATGCAGCAGCTACTGGTAAATTTCAAAAATAAAAATAATTAATTTGGGAAACGATCTCACTATCTCACGTCGCCTCGGGAAGGCAAAGGCAAAGCGCTTTTTGCCTTTCCCTTCCCGGCTGGGGCTGTTGGGAGTCGCTTCCGCCGGCGCGGCCCCAGTCCCGCCGCCTCGGGAAGGGAAAGGCAAAGTGCTTTTTGCCTTTCCCTTCCCGGCTGGGGCTGTTGGGAGTTGCTGCCGCCGGTGCGGCCCAGTCCCGCGTCGCCTCGGGAAGGGAAAGGCCACGGCTTGGAAGGCTGCCGCTGGAGCGAAGCTGCGCGCAGCCGCTGCGCTAGCATCGGATCGGGCGCGCCGGACGGTTCCGACCGAGCCCCGAGCGTCGTCTTTGGCGCCCGCCCAGCGCCGCGGAGCTCCCTGTACCGGGAGAAGGGGAAGACACCCCCCCCGGGGCGGGGCAGGGAGAGGAGCTTCTCCCGCCCGCCCCTCTTTCCGCGCCCACCGGTGTCCCTGCAGGACGACCCCCGCCCCGCAGTCGCCGCCGCTTGAAAGAGACGGGCCGGGGGTGGGTAGAAAGGCGCCGGGCGCCCTTGGAGGAGAAGGTCCCGCGTTCGCCTGTCTGCCCGCGGATGTCAGCGGAGCTTTGCCGCTGCTTCGTCCGGGGTCTCTGGGCAAACACGTCCACCCGAGCGGGGCTTGTCGCCTCCGGCACGCAACGAGCGCTGCCCTCGGATTCCCTGTCCGGTTGCCCCCCTTTTGAGGGCGATGGCAGTAAACTGTTCCCGTAGCAGGAGGGGGATTTTTTCAGCACAAAAAATGGGCTGAAAAACTCGGCTTATAATCGAGTATATACGGTAGTTTAAACAATTATTAAAAATTGAGTTTTTAAAAAATTGAAAATTAATCCGTTCCATCTAGCCGCCTGAAAGTTTTATTTTATTTTATTTTTATTTATTTATTTTTGTCAATTGCTTACAAGATAATAGGTATAAATAAAAACATAGTTATGAATACATGGATACATATAAGAAAAATAAAAGAAACAATAGGACAGGGACGGTAGGCACATTGGTGCACTTATGCACGCCCCCTACAGACCTCTTAGGAAAGGGGTGAGGTCAATAGTAGACAGTCTAAGGTTAAAGTTTTGGGGGTTTGGGGAAGAAACCAGAGTCAGGTAGAATATTCCAGATATTGCCCACTCTGTTGCTGAAGTCGTATTTCCTGTAATCAAGTTTGGTGTGGTTAACCTTGAGTTTGTATCTATCGTTTGCTCTTGTGTTGTTATGGTTGAAACTGAAGTATTCATTGACAGGTAGGACATTGCAATGTATGATTTTATATACTATACTTAGATCGGACCGAAGGCAGCGTAGTTCTAGATTTTCTAGGTCTAGAATTTCGATTCTGGTGGCATAAGTTATTCTGCAACGAGTAGAGGAGTGAAGAAAGTTGCTAACTGATCTTCCACATCAAAGTTTAAGAAAAATATAAGGCTTTTCTAGAACAGACTTTGCAAGACCTAATATAATTTATGATCAAAGTAAATTGATTTGATAACACCATGTCATATGTTGTGTAAGTATAATATGATGCTTTGCCTCTTTGAATTAATGCTTTTCTTAGTTTTAAATAGCAATAAATAATTAACAGCATAACAGTTGATGTTAATGTGTGAATTTATATATTCCCCTGTGTGAAAATACTTAATATCTCCCCCACCCCCCTCTTTTCTCCATTTCTGTTTGTAAAGCACCCATGGTTCAGTTTTCGAAAACTGTGGGCCTTCACTGGGCCTGGTTTTCTAATGAGCATTGCCTACCTGGATCCAGGTAACATTGAATCAGATCTACAATCTGGGGCAGTTGCAGGATTTAAGGTAAGTCGCTAATCTGTCTTTTTGTAACATTTTTTACTTTGAAACCTGTTGTAGAGGTTGATCAGAAGAATGCCTTAAAAATTCAATTCAAGGGCACTGATCAAAACAAGGATTTTTCTAAACACATTTTTTTTTACAGATGCTGTCTTTAAATTGTACACTGAAAATGTTTAAAAATGGGATTTTGCAATGTTAGGGAATAACAGTAAAGTACAATAGAGGAGAATTTTCTTGGCTTGTGTTCTTACATCTGAGTCACATTGAACTGATTCACATTGAAGATTAATTGCCATAAACTAGGTTGATTCATCAGAATGTGTCATTATGGGTTACATCTTAACATCTAGAGGCGTACCATAAAAATTGGGGACAGAAAAGCTGAAATTTCAACCCGTTCTACAAATCTGTCACATTATTTTTAAATTAACTCAGAAGCCTCAAATATGCTAGCATAAAACCAAGGGGGAACATACTGCTGACCAGGAACCTTTTCAGTAAGAATCTGAAACTGTCATGCCCCTGGTGGAGACTGACTCTGAGGGAGAGGAGGAACAGCCGACAGGGAGTGGAAGTGAGGCTCCAGAGGTGGTGGAGGAGGCTGGGGAAGGGCAGAGGCCGGTTGAGCAGTCAGAGGAGGACCCAGGCCCATCCCCTATCCATCCTAGGGCACACAGGGAAGAGAGGATAAGGGAGAGACGTGGTCTCCTCGGGAGGAGAGGGCCTTGATCCTCTTCATGGGATGCAGGTGTGACAACTGAATAAGAGTTTGGACCTGTGTACTGGCAAACTCTGGAAACAAATTGTGTAAATATCTCTAGATTATAGTTCCTCTCTGAGTTTGGTGTCCTTCCCAGTGTGTGTTTTCTGTGGACATCCTCCAGCCCTTATCTTGCCTGGTTTGTGTTGCTTTTTTCCTTCTTCTTGTAACAGTTTGTGAGGGAGTTTTTTTTGTCTTCCGTCAAAGATATTCGGAGCTTGGAAGCAAACTGAAGGAATAAAAGGCGCTTCACCTGTTTTCTGTGACTGTGTTTGTTTTGTATCCCACCCTGGGTCATCACAGAAACGATTAAACTTTGGTTTTTAAATGTTAGGGTTTCACAATATGAAAACAAAACAAAATAGAATTTTGAAAAGCAAAACTTTTTACCCCTGTGATTCTCTTTACTATTTGACTGTTAGCTTTTCTAATTATTTTGACTTGTGGTTGGCTGGTTAGATTAGCTTGAAGCAATGCGTGTGGCTTCCCACATTTTAAAAGATTTACTAGATATTTATGTTTTATTGTTTATTGTTTATTGTTATGTTTTATTGTTTATCTAACTGAATACCTGTCTTTGCTACCAGCAATTTTCCGCAGTCAAATTCCAGGTAGCATAGGGTTCCTAGTTCTTTTGAGAAAGTAGGCAGAGGGGTCTCTCCGAGACATTTCAGATTTCCAGAGTTCTCCATAAACAGAAGAACGTTTATGTAGCAGAAACCTGTTTGGAATGTTCTGTTTGAGCATTAAATTCTCCAGAACCAAACCCCAAATATGTCTGATGAAAAGGAGGGTTCTCTGGGGCACTTTTTGTTTGTGAGAGGGCTTGGATAAGTATCCCCAGAAATACAGGTATTGTTTAGTTAGCAGAATCCCTAGATTTGTTGTTCCTCTTCCAGAACATTGCTATCCTGAGCTTCTTTTAATTTTTGTGTATGTGTATTTTTATGTTTTTCAGCTGCTCTGGGTTCTCTTGTTGGCTACTGTCATTGGTTTGTTGTTACAACGTTTGGCGGCAAGGCTGGGTGTGGTAACAGGACTTCACCTAGCAGAAGTATGCAATCGACAGTACCCCAAGGTGGGTAAATTGGCGGTGCAGCTGTCTGCATGAACCAGCCAGGGGACAGAGGGGCTTTTTCCAACAGCAAGTTTGCATCTCGTATTTATCTCAGCTCTTTGTTAAACGTTGAACATGTTAACATGTAACTACTAGTTCTTCACTGAGATCAACACTACTCATGGCTTATCCATGGTTTGTTTAGCTCAGTGTAGCCTGACATGAATACTGACTGTGAGTATATCACACCAGAAAAAGCCATCACCAAACTACCGTATTTGCCGGCGTATAAGACGACTGGGCGTATAAGACGAGCCCCTAACATTTCCACTCAAAATATAGTTTTTGTTATATACTCGCCGTATAAGACGACCCCCCCACTTGGAGGCATGCTTTTCAAGGCAAAAAAGTCGTCTCATACGCCGGCAAATACGGTAAGTTGTAACACTTGGGGTATTCTGGATATAATTCTTGATTGACACCCCCAACCCCTTTCCCCCAAACTTACAAAGCCACCAAAATGCTTTAGAGAGGCAGCTTCGCCTTTCTCAGGCTGGCACTCAATTCCTCTCCCTTTCTTTGTGACAGCCCCCGCGTGCGTGCCATCGGGACTCCAAGGGTGGGGGATGGACAGCTGCCAACTCACTCTCTCTCTCTCTCTCTCTCTCTCTCTCTCTCTCTCTCTCTGTGTGTGTGTGTGTGTGTGTGTGTGTGTGTGTGGTGTGGAGGGTAATTCCGGCTATCTCTGGCCTCCGCTCGGTTTTAAAGTCGCTTGGCCGGTTCCCAAGTCGCAAGCGCACGCTGGCCGGGAGACGCGGCGCCGGGTGGAAGCTCGGTGCAGGGGAGGCAGATCTTTCTCTCTTAAGCGGGGAGGGGAGGAGGGGACAAGAGGAGGGATGGGACGGGACAGGGGACCCTTTTCTTCCCAAGGGGAAAGCAGCTCGGGAGCCGGGTGGCCCTGCCCAGCGGGGTCCCATCAGGAACTTCCTGAGGACACCCCCCCCACCCCAAGCACAGCCCTCCCAGTCTTTCAAAGAGGGAGGGAGAAGCGGGAGGAGCAAATTGCCGCCCCCCGCCCAGCTGCCCAGAAGGAGGGGCGCCACAGTCCACCCCCACCACCTTCTCCCCCCCACTCCCCGGGCCATTACGCGGCTCGGGGCTGGCTGGCCGAAGCGGCCCCGCCAGAGACCCTCCCGCTCCACCCCCACCCCACCTCCAGATTGGCCTCCGCAAGCGCCCCGAGCCGGGCGGAGGGTGGGTGGGTGGGTGGGAGGAGGAGGAAGAGAGACTCCGGCTGGGCTTGAAGGGGCTTCGCAAGTTGCGGAGCTCCGCCCCCGTCGCTCTTGCACCGAGTGACAATGTATTTACCGGCGTATAAGACGACCCCCCCACTTGGAGGCATGTTTTTTAGGGCAAAAAAGTCGTCTTATACGCCGGCAAATACGGTAATCTTTTGCCATGCTTCAGATTTTCTTTAGGTGGACAGATCCATAATCAAATGTGAGTGTCTGTTTGCCAAATGATGTTAAGTGAGAGCTTGACAATGGCAAACGTTTGTGGACAGGAGCAACAATTGGGTAGCAGTCCTGCCTGTGTTTAGCCATAAGGCCTAGGAAAACACGGATGTGCAGATACTCTTATGATCTGCAGATCAGGGGTGGGAGCCACAGGTCGTAAAGTTGCCACCCCTGATCTATAGGATCATACAATAAATAGGAAGAGAGGTTAAGACTGCAAAATCTATGGAGACTGAAACCAGGAAAGAAGAGAAGTCCAGGGAAAGGTACTAACTGTGGATAGTTCTAAAGTTTCCAAAATCGGGAGTCTGAGTTTTTAGGTAAAACAGCTGGGCGAACAAACAGGATACAAAAATAATGAGATAAATGGATTATTCCAGAGAACAAAAGAACAGCAATTGCCCTCATTCTCTCTCAAAACACCAATGCAAACTCCCCCATCTCCCCTTAGATGGAGGAGGCCAGGAGGGAGGTGGGATAATCAGAAGAAAAAGAAAGAAAGAGAACGTTGGGTAGGGAACAAGGGAAAAAAAGATATTGCCCCCAGGGATAGAACAAGAGATAGCTTTACCCCCAAAAAAAAGAAAAGAAAAAGAAAGCTTGGGCTCTATCAATAGAGAAGATTCCCAATCCAGGGATTCCACACATTTGTTTTCCTGCCGTCTTTCCTCTCAGTTAGTTTAATCACGTGGCTTTTCTCTTTCAAGCAATCATGTCTGCCTTTATTCCACAAAGAAAAGTAGTCCTTGAGTTAGTCCGTAGCTGAGCCCTGCAATTACAGTTGTAAATCACGACAATCATCGAGTGGGTTACCATGTGACAGTATCTGATTTGATGACTTTTTTTGTAGCCTGTAAAGCGAGTGCCACATTTGTAAAGCAAACATAGCAGTGAACATCAGAATTCTCAAGGGAACCCATTGTTACCAGAAGTAAATAATGCTTTTTGATAAAAAAAAAAATGTCATAAATCGCAGTCATGTGACCATGGGGTGCAAACAGCCATACATGGGGCTGGTTGTTGAGCACCCAAGATATGGTGATGGGACCACGGGTTGGGGGAAGTGCGTGTCATAACATCGAATACGGGTTGTAAATCATTTTTGGGGTGGTCTGCCATTATTTTGAACAATTGATTGAAAATCAAGGGCTACATGTACAAAATGATTTTCCTCTTCAGTGAAAATTAATGGAGGAAGAAAGTCAAATTTTGCATGGCTGAATATGGTGCTCCTGTGGTCAAGATCCCAAAGCCTCTGGTTCTGAAAGGGGGAGGATTGACTTGCTGGATTGAAGTACAAATATTCATCGCACAGGTTCTCAGGAAGTGTTTTTGCTCCATGTGGACACACTCCTTCGTAGCTCTTATTGTAAATCAGGGAATGACTGTTTAATAGTAGATCAATAATACCATTGGTGGATGTCTTCTGAAAATCTAATCCCTGAGTAAAAGCATATTTTTTTTTAATTTTAAGAGTCAGAACATTTGGTTTCCAAATCAGTCTGCATATGCTCCCTTTCTGTCTTTCCTGATCCAGTTAATGCTTCTACAGTATTCGTTTGATGTGGTTCCCATAATTATTTCAATTACTGATAAATGAATCTCCTAAAAACCTAGATGAAGGCAGGCTTATAGAATCTATTCTTTGGTATGAAATTCCTTTTGGGCCTGCTTTGGCAAGACAGTTGCTTAGAGATGCAGAAATCTCGTACAAAACCCAGGTGTTTTTTTTTCCTTTCAGTATTAATTATCCCTTGTTTGGTTCCTCTGTCATTTTTATCTTTGGGTGGTCTGTGTGCACATATGCATGTTCATAGAAGGTTTGGCAATTATATATTTCCTGGATCTGGCACACCTGAAGGGAAACAGCATAGAAATCTTTAAAAATGGACAAAATCTATTGCTTGCCTTTCCCTTCCCCGGAGTTAGAATATTTTTAGTAAGTAGTATGTTTAATTTTGGTAATATCCAGATTAAATTCCTTTTTTTTTTTGGTAATTTTTTTTTGTTTTTAAAGACAAACATAAACAAACAAACCATAAAAACATCAAACTTTCTTCCATAAATATACAAGCAGTGTGCCGGTTGGTTTACAAATTTTTTTTAAGCATCCATTTCATAGTCTTCAGTTACAGTTACATTGCATACTAGGGTATTCAATTTTTGATTGATAATATGAGCTATTATGCAATGTAACTGTAATTGCAGATTAAATTCCTGTTGTAATAATTATATTTTCCTAAGGTTGTTTGGAAACTGCTCCCACACAGATCCTCCTTGCCAGGATGAAGGTCCCATCAGAAACTTCTGAATTACATGGGAGGAGTCAGTTTCTGGGAGGACCGATACTTTTGGCATAAGAAGGGAGCTGCAAAGGTGGCACTTCTCGTAAGCCTGAGCCTCCTTAGGTTTCCCTCTCTGAAGTACCATAGGAAAGTAATACCAGGAGAGGATTGAAAAGACTTAAGCAAACATTCAGCCAAACCCAGAATCACTTTTTGCAATCTTCTCAATGTTCATTTCATTCCAGAGCAGAAAAGTCTTTGACAAAGCTATGGTACCTGCTAGGAAACTCTTGGCCTGTAATTGTGTATCTTGTACAGCTCCAGCATCTGCTGTGTAGCTAACTCTTGGTTTAGAAGTGAGTTTATAAACTTTGGGGTATCTTTTGAGCTGCCCGATTCCCAGCACAGCCATCCGTGTAGGTGGTTGCTGGTCAGGAGACGCTTAATCCTCCCTTTGCTAGGAGAGTTTGCTTTCCAAATTTAGATTGTGGTGATTCTTTCTCATTGCACAATGCAGAGGGGGGGGGGGGGGGGAAGGAATTTTTGGATGGCTTCTGAAGGCTGTGGGTGTGTGAATCATTATGGAGATTGTAAGCTAGAATTGGACCAGAGCATTAAACTAAGGGTTTGAAGCATATTTTGCAAGTCATCTAGAATAACAGAGTTGGAAGGGACCTCGGAGGTCTTCTAGTCTAACCCACTGCCTAGGCAGGTAACCCTACACCACTTCAGACAAATGGTTGTCCAACATCTTTTTAAAAACTTCCAGTGTTGGAGCATTCACAACTTCTGGAGACAAGTTGTTCCACTGATGAATTGTTCTGTCAGGAAATTTCTCCTTAGTTCTAAGTTGCTTCTCTCCTTGATTAGTTTCCACCCATTGCTTCTTGCCCTGCACTGTTCTTGTCTACTCTGTTTAGTTGGGTGCATGTCACTGCTATTGTATCCTGAAAAAAAAAGAGTGTGTCTCTTTTTGTTGACTTCTTAGGAGGGAACTCCAGGGTGGACAAAATGTTTCCATTCTAAACTACCAAGCGGTTCATGGCAAATATTGCTTTCTTTCACAGACAATTTAATAAATCAAGCAGTAGGCAGACTTAATGAGCCTCAACTTGTTCTTCTCCTTCTCCTTTTCCATTTCTTCTTCTTCTCTCTCTTTTTCTCACTATTTCTCTCTTTCTTTTTCTCTCTTGCTCTCTCTCTCTCTTACCTTTCTCTCTTTTACCCTCCCTCCCTTCATTCCCTCCCTTTTCTTTCTTTCTTTCTTTCTTTCTTTCTTTCTTTCTTTCTTTCTTTCTTTCTTTCTTTCTTTCTTTCTTTCTTTCTTTCTTTCTTTCTT